GGGACTCGGCTGCAACCGCCGCTGCTGGAGCCAACCCGGGCGGCACCGAACACCGTTTCCGGTTCCCACTTCCGGCGCGGTGTCCAATCGGCAGCCCGCCCAAGGCTTTCCGTTTTCGGCAGTAACGGTCGGACCCGGACCGGAGCCTAAGTCGATGAAGCGTGGTCCATGTGGGCAGGCGGGTCCCCGCAGTCGGCCCGCCGCAATCTGGTTTTTAAAATAAAACAGGTAAATTGACTCATTGGACCAGCCTGGGACCTGGCCCAGAAGGGCTGGTATTTTCCTGGGACTCAGACATCACGGTGCTCATGGCCTTGTGATCGCCGAGTCGGGAACATGGGGATGAAAGCACGTGACGTGGGTCCGGGAACCCTAACACGTGGAGGAGACCTGCTGAAGCACCGAGGATCAGGCTGAACGTCGTCTCAGGAGAGCAAGCCCCGAGCCATTGAAACTCAGGGTCGGAAACCCGTGGGCCCTGACAGCTCAGACCCTGGTTTCCTTGCTGGAAAACGAGTCCCCTGGATCGAGGAGCTACTCAGACTCTGTCAGTCATGAAGCTACCGAGGTAGATGGCTACAGCTTTCCTCACTCATGAGAGAGCAAGCTTTCTGCTCTACGTTACTACCATTAAATCAACTCACTTCCTGGGAGCAGTATCCTGGGACTCGCAGGAATCCACGACTGTTTCCTCCTCTTCTTCTATTATTGTTGGTAAGAAATACCCTTTTCCTCTGTAAATAGAGGAGAAAGAAAAGCAATCTGGTTTTTAAATAAAACACGTAAATTGACTCAGCCCAGCCTGGGACCTGGCCCAGAAGGGCCAGCATTTTCCTGGGATTCAGACATCACGGTGCTCATGGCCTTGTGATTGCCGAGTCGGGAACATGGGGATGAAAGCACGTGACGTGGGTCCGGGAACCCTAACACGTGGAGGAGACCTGCTGAAGCACCAAGGATCAGGCTGAACGTCTTCTCCCGAGAGCAAGCCCTGAGCCATTGAAACTCAGGGTCGGAAACCCGTGGGCCTTGACAGCTCAGACCCTGGTTTCCTTGCTGGAAAACGAGTCCCCTGGATCGAGGAGCTACTCAGACTCTGTCAGTCATGAAGCTACCGAGGTAGATGGCTACAGCTTTCCTCACTCATGAGAGAGCAAGCTTTCTGCTCTAAGTTACTACCATTAAATCAACTCACTTCCTGGGAGCAGTATCCTGGGACTCGCAGGAATCCACGACTGTTTCCTCCTCTTCTTCTATTATTGTTGGTAAGAAATACCCTTTTCCTCTGTAAATAGAGGAGAAAGAAAAGCAATCTGGTTTTTAAATAAAACACGTAAATTGACTCAGCCCAGCCTGGGACCTGGCCCAGAAGGGCCAGCATTTTCCTGGGATTCAGGCACAAACTCACGGAGGGCAGGCACCACAACCCTCCCAGGACCGGGGAAGACTCCGCTCGGAGCAGGCTCAGCAAGCCTGCCATCTCCCTGGCCTCCTGCAGAACTGTCTAATGCAAAACCATCATCAGATCACCCCCTGGATACCAGGACCCGAATCTTCTAGTTGGCACCTGTCCAACCTCTGCTGGTAATTTTTACCCGCTGCGTTACAGAGAGCCAACTTCAGGCCACAGTCATTTCTACCCCAAAACTACAGTGTGGCTTCCCACGTGAACCATCCTGGGTAGGTGCAACCACCTGTAGACGAGCAGAAGAATCCAAGAGAACAGTAAAGCAGCCCCATTACCCAGGGAGCTGGGACAGTGCCTCCGGGGTCACTGTGGCCATGTCCCTCTGTCCCACATGGCCAGCCATTCCTGACCACAAGGAAGGACAGTCCCGCAGCACAGCACCGAGGGGGGAAGACCACCTTCGACCCACAAGATGCATCTCAGGTTACTTGACTTCCAACCACAAGGCTCCCAACACCAAGGCTCTTCCTCCCGCCCTCCTTTCTGGCAGCTCCTGGGCCTGTACACCAGCTTCCCATAAACACTCACTTCCCAGTGAACCCAACTCCATAGCTGGGCATGGACGCCTTCCACAGCTGAGCGCTGGATGCTGCAGCCTTCCCTCCTGCCACTGCCTGCACCTTCCCTGCATCCAGACCACCCGTGCTCCACCGTCACTTCCCCCCACCGGCCAGCCCTGTCCCCATCCGGGTCAGCAGCAGCACCCCAACTCCCACCACCACGCTTCCTTCTAGGCCTCTATGAAGCTCCTCAACGTCTGTCTGCTGTGCACACAGCTCTGCTCACATCCCATCACGCCTACTAGTTCCTGGCCACCAGGTCACTGGTTCTGTGCACCTCACAGGGTCTACGCCAAAGCCAGGAATGTGTCATGTCGGCAGAGGGAGGACAACCATGGTGCACCAACGACCCTCTCTCCAGCCTGTTAAGGGAAAACACACAGAAAGGGCTCGGCCCGCAATCTGAATTCCTTCCCTAGGCACCACTCTACCGCCATCATATTTTTAAAACTGAACTGAATTCCAAGAGCAGATTAAGAACCATTTGGCAGTGGGCAGTATCTTTGAAAAGCCAACCACCCCTACTTGCAGAAATCTAGAACCGTTCCAGGAAAACGAGAGGAGGATGTGCTGGGAAGATGGTATGAGCCCTTGCCCTTGGGACACCAGTGCGCCAGGGGGCTCTCTGCCCAGAATGTCGAGGCCCAGGCGCGGGGCTGGAAGCCAGGGCCCCTTTGTGGACAGGGCAGCCCACACCCCTTACATGTGCCAAGCTTTGTCCACATTCTTTTTTAGAAGCCGCCTGTTCCTCTTGGCCAATGTCAGAATCCTGCTCCTGAGTTTATACTTTTCCTCTTCCAAGTTCTTCTTCACACAGACGAACGCCTAGAACACAGGTCAACAATGGCTCACATACCATGCACCCCTGTGATTCCACTGCTGGGAATCTGTTCCCAAAAGAAGAAAAAAAGGCCGCGTGCTCAAAGTGACACTCACACACAGTCTTTGAGCACAGACGCCAACGAGGACCCATTCCCACCTGGCTGAGCCAAGGCTGTCGCCCAGGGCACAGGCCCGGTGTCCTGAGCCCTTCAGCCCAGGCCTCACCTCGCACTGGCTGTCCAGCTTCCTCAGCAAGATTTCAAAGTTATGCAGGTTGTCCCTCGCCTCTTCGTACCGGGCCTGCCAGAGCCTCACTTCCTGCTGCAGGTTCTCTAGGGACGTTTGCATGTCTTTGCTCTGGGTGCGCAGCTCATTCTGCTTCCCCTTCACCAGCCGGTTCCAGAAGTTGGCTCTGGGGGTGGAGAGTCACACGGCCAAGGGCTGAGGAGCACTCCCAGCCTCCGACACAGGTGTGCACCTTAATCAAAACCACAACCTCTCTGGGCCTCCGTTTTTCCCGTGTGTAAATGAGGGTTGAACAAAATCAGCGGTTTTCAAACTGTGTCTGTTGGGGTTCTATGAGGCTAGCCCAGCTGCCACTCTGTGCTGGGGGAGACAGGACAGGCAGGTCGGACACCTCTTCAGCAGAGCACCCTGTGAGAATCCTTCCCATGCAAGACTTTGGCAGACCTGCCGACTTGGAACAAAGGGCTCTTCGACTGAAATACTTTTGAAATACATGGAATCAGAACATTTTTGCTCTAAATCTGTATGTCTATGCCCAGCTCTTCCCCCCAATTCCAAGCTCCTTTCTAATTTCACTCCTGAGACAAATAAAATATGAGATTTGGGAGTATTAGGTAAATCCACTGAAATCATCATCATCGTCGTCATAACTGCCCGACTGGGTATCAGGGGGAAGATTTAGACCAGAAAGCTCACATGAGCAGAGGCTCATGGACTCAATTTGAACACAGATGTGCTCTGTTTGGCCCACATCATCTGTCTCTGCTGACTTCTGGTTTTTTAATTTATTAATTTATTTTTTTAATTAAATCTTTATTGTTCAGATTATTACAATTGTTCCTCTTTTTTCCCCCCATAGCTCCCCTCCACCCGGTT